TATATATATATATATATATATATATATATATATATATATATATATACTCCCTGCATCTAATACACCATTACATTCATTTGGCAGATTCTGTCCAATGCAACTTACAGCAGGTGCATTTATAACACGTACTCTAGGAGCAAGAGCTAAATAATCCAAAACTGGGAGTGCAACGTTATCTCTTCTGAACAAACAGGATGACAACTGATGGACAGTTAATGTTGAGATTTAGAGTTATTACAGGAGTCGTCAGCAGCTAGAATTACGTTATCATAAAGTAAACACAGTTGGTACAGGATGAGCTCCATCAGTGCTAAAGCTAACGTGCTAGCTGGCTACTAAAGAGGAAAGCCTCTCACGTACCGTCAGACACGACGTCCCAAATGTCCAAATATCCCGGGTCACGTGGCTACCGCCGGGGTTCAACTGGTGAACATGGAGGAGAAATGCCGTTTGGAGAAACACGATCAAATGTCATATCTGTCAAAGAGGATATTGGTGATCTTCTCAATACGTGGAGCAGGAAGCGCTGCAACGAAGGACCCCACAACAGAGCGCCTTCAGAGACGCCTGATCAAAAATGAGTTTTACAAAACACATCAGCCACCTCCTGCTCGTTTGTGTACTGTGAATATAAATAGAAGAAAAGTAGATTTCGTATTTAGATATTTTGTTGTTTAATAGCAAGCAGATACTGTATTCACCAACTTCTCCCTTTAACAAAAACTATTCTATCAAGAGCCATTAAATGGAGTACAACAATGAGAACAAGACTGTGTAATACTATTCTGTATCTACTTCTATGGCAGAAGTAAAAAAAAAAAATATATATATATATTAATGTAAAAAATGTAGGTAAGCAATTTAAACTCAAGGTACTTAATTGCACTAACAATAGTAAATGAAATTATGTAATTTCAGTCTGTTTCAGTCTGTTTCAAATCTGATTAAATAATAACCTCAGCTGGTGGCTCGTGTCTCACCTTTAGATTGGAAAATAGACAAACTGACACAGACGTTATGAAACAGTGCCTCTTTATTTATTTCCCGCACTCACTCCAAAATGCATATTTACATGGCATGCCACATCAATACAGGAACTGACTATGGACACAATCGATAACACATAGAATCTGCTCTGGGAGTTTAGGGCAGGAAGAGTTATCCAATGAACAACCAACAAAGAGATAACAGAAAGGAAGCAACACTTTTATAACCAGTCATAGAAAAGGGTTCCTCTGAAATAGAGTCGTTTCAAAGACTTAAAAAAAGTGATAAATGTCCAGAACGTTTCACATTTGTCATGGAGGGCCAGAGCCACGGTCGCATCAGAGATAGTGATCATCTACACTCCGCAAAACAAAAACAAAACTCACAAGGCTGTTAAAAAAAAATCAGGATGGAAGGGGCAGAGCAGATGATCACACATATAGCGGGGAAAAGATTTTGGACAGTAAATCTATTGTTGAGGTCAAGCTGGTCAGCTCCAATAGATATCCAGTCCAGTCATTTCAAAATACCTCAACAATCTAAGTCTTCTAGCATAGTGTCCTTGTTCAAGGTAATGAAGCGCTTTGTCCTTTCAGGAAAAACAAATAAAAAAAATGGAGTGGGCGCCAGAAGATCCCAAAAAAAGGGGGGGAAGAAGTTAAATACATAAAAAAAACACAACTCAATAAACAAGTTTGTGTGTGATAATGCAAAAATAACAAAACAACAAATATCTGGACAAGTTTCCTCCGAGAGATCCTTTGAGAAAAATGTTATCTTTGCTCAATCAGTATTTCCTCTGTGTTCAGATAAACAGTCTGTATCAACATTCAAACATACATCCTCTGGGAGTCACTCACACACCCACCCACTCTCTCAACCACACACATATACACGAACACACACACAGAAACACACACACACTCTCTCTCTCGCTCCCTCTTGCACAGTCAATTACACATGCAATGTGGTCACTGAATGACGGACTACCACATCAGATCAGGCCCCTCCTCTTCTTGTAGTCCGTCACTGAATGACGGACTACCACATCAGATCAGGCCCCTCCTCTTCTTGTAGTCTTCCAGATTGAGGGACCTGCGAGGAGCTCCGTCCTTCACTGGCAACGCGTTGGAGCTCACGGACAAAGACTTCGCCTCTGCAGAGCACAAAGGTGATATTGATACGTCTCGTTTCTAGAGTGCTGTGGTTAACATACCACAACCAACCTTGTGCTGCAGCCAAGTAAAGCATAGGGCCGGGCAATATATCGATGTCATGATACGAGGCTAGATATCGGCTTAGAAGTTCTTTTCCTGGTTTTAAAGGATGCATTACAGTAAAATGACGCAATTTCCTGAACTTACCAGATTGTTAAAGCTGTTTTTTTTTTTTATTTGCCTTTATCCACCTAGTCAATGTATCCACATTACTGATGATTATTTATCAAACATCTCATTGTGTGAATATTTTGTGAAAGCACCAATAGTCAACCCTACAGTATCGTCACAATATCAAGGTGTACGGTGAAAAATATTGTAATATTCTCCATATTTACCAGCCCTGGTAAAATATACATGCAAGCTGAGCAAGTAAAAAATAAAAAAAAGCATTGGTAAAAGATAATCTCACCTGCATTGGGAACCTGTAGGTCAATCTTAACGTCAAAATCATGAACTTTAAACAAGTCCTCTGAAAGGTCAGTGTTCGGCTTGGGGCCATCTTTGTCTTTTGAGTTTAGTTGACCCTGTAATGTAACAAACAGAGGAAAGATTAGACATTTAGATACTTTGAATAAAACATTATCTTCCTGCAATCAACAAATCAAAATCTGACAAAAAAACGAAACGCCCCACAGCCGGAGCATCAGCACAGAAATGGTGCAACAAGCACGCAGCTTCCCGTCAAAACAACAATGTGGACACAAGCATCTTCTATGTGAACGCACTGGGAGTGTCTCTTATTGCTTCTCCTGCTTACCAGTTCGTTTATGTCAGCGCCAGAAGCGTCCGTTGCCGACCCAGAGCCGTACTTCTGGTTCAGGTGAGCAAGAATAGCTGCGTGGACTGAAGGGTCTCTGGCCTGCAGAACCAAAACGAGCAGGTGAACAAAAGAGATGAACAACATTAGATTCAGCAGTGTTTATGAGTTTGTACATAGTGGACATGTTACATGAAATAATCATAGGAATCTTACATTAGACACCATGGTGGGTTTGCACTGTCTTCGTGTGAAAGGGTCCATTTGTTGGTTTTTGGCATTTTTTTGTCCTTCAAGCTGTGAGAAAATAAAGAAGTAAATACAAATGAGGTTATCTTAACAGCAGTTGGTACACTGACTGATCTGTAATGATAACAACTGCAGTAAAATCGACACAATGTTATTGGGACATTTGGGGGATTTATATTACTACAGCATGGGGCACACAGGACTGCTGTCTCCCCACACACACTGCTGTTAGTGGGCTTAAGTTAACAGCAGCACATCTGAACTCTGTCACATTAGAAAAACATCCGCGTAATGTTTCCAGATCTTGGTGGGTTGTCAATAAGAAAGGAACCGTCCCCTCCAATCCTTCAGTAACATTGTTGTAGTGGTTGTCTCGCACTTCTTCAGTTCAAATAGAAACTACGGGATGTCAACAGGATGCGATATTGATGTTTCAAACAAATACATTTTCTGGCACTTCACATTTCTGTATTTTGAAGCACAGTTTTCCCTTTATCAATTCCTGAACATCTTTCACCATCCCAGCCTGAATATCAGAAATCATCACAGTCAAAGCAGCATTTAGATGAAGGACACTTACCACAAGAGCTTTCTCAGATTCAACGATGTTCCAGCTTCTGTTCCTCTGATTGATGTAGCTGGATGATAAATACAACCAAAAAATAATTCTGTGTTAAAACACGATCGGCTCCATAATGTTAAGAACCGTGTATAGAAATATGACATAAACAATAACCACGCATTGTAGGGTTTGAATGTTGATGCTGTGGACTTCATTTTAAATGAAAGTTGAAATTTCCATTATTTCCTTCCCAGGATGAAATATTTTAGGTAAGCTTTTGCAGCCATGAAAAACATTTTTTTTAATAGTTTAGAACCATGTGTCTGAATCCAGGAAGCCCCTGTTTTATTAAAAAGAGACATAACAACAGTTATAACTGTGGCTTGTGTACCTGATGGCAGAGATGCTCTTGGTCCTTTGTCTGTCCAGAGCCTCGGCCCTTTCCTCAAGCTCGTTTAGCTCATCCTGGATCGCTTTCACTCTGTCACCATCTCCTATCTCTTCTGCCATGGCCTTCAAATCAAAATGAGGGTAAAAATGAGTAAGAAAGAGTCTGATAGATAAGAGTTAGGGTCATTACAGATTCTCAGACAAATCTTTGACAGTTGCTTTCAGCAAACCGTCCTTTACCTTGTCTTTGAGTAACTGCGTTTTCTTCATGGCATAATTCGGTGGCGCTTTTCGGAATCTGTCCTTCTCTTTTACAATCTGCAGCGAGTAAAGACAAAACATACTTTTGTTCAACTGCATGATGCATGAGACCAGAGAAAATCCATTAACACCTGGAGAAGAAGACTTACATCCTCTATGTCTTTGTCATTGAACTTGTGGTTCAGAGCTTCTTTGATGGACTGCTCCTTTTTGGTGATCTCGTCAAGAGTTGGTACCTGCATTCCAGCAACAATCATCTGGAAAACAAAACTAAAATCAAAACCCCCAAACTTGAAATCCTTCTTCACAGGCTGAGCAGACAGCTCATCGTGTGTCTCTGGAAGAAATTCAAGATCCTACTTAAACTGATGCAACATCTCATATTTTTGCTTTTTCAAAAACACACTCACCGCCTCTTTCCACTTCATGAACTCATTTTCCATGAACTCCTGATTTGATACAAACTCGAGCCTGAACACCCGTGTGTCACCGCCATGCCTGAGGAAGACAGACAACAAAAAGGTCACATTTTTGGTAAGCAGGGACGATGGAAAAGATTCTTGATGACCTACTTTAATATGTATTAACTATACCCACCTTAACTGTAATCCCTTGTTTGTTCGCGTTGTTCCAAGTTGGTAAACCTTCGCCGTCTCTACCACGTCCACAATTTCAGCAACCTTTCAACAACAAGGGAGGACTCAAATTAAATCAAACGTCACAAATCAGACTTCATTTAATCCATTTCTGAAGAGTTGCGGCTCTTCACTATCACCATTATAAAAGAGCACATCATCTGATATTGAACACGTTCCCTAGAGCCCAGGCTTACCCTGTAAACTGGTTTGCTGCTGCTGTTCCCGATCCCTATCCTCACAAAGCAGCCGGTCACGGTCTTAGTAAAGAAGGGCATGTGGCACCAGCGCTCCAGCTTGTGTCGGGACAGGCGGACCCTGTTGAGCTCATCGGGTAGTGAAACAGGCTGCGACTTGGGTGGAGTTTCTTCTTTACTGTTCGCGGAACACAAGACGTCAAGACGTTACTTGAAAATCCAGAGAAAAGTGTTACGTGTTATTGTCAATAAGAGCAGAAGAAAACTCACTCGTCGTCATCGTAAGACGATGAACGGGAACTCCGGTCACTTTTGACGGATGATTTGTCATCGTCTTCCTCCTCTTCCTCCTCATCGTCAGAGTAAACCTCGCTGGTCTTCAGGGGCTGGCGTTTGGCCAACAGTTCCGCTGCTCACCAAAGAGATGAAATGTCATCTTTTGATACCGACTGAACTGTCACAAAAATCACAAGGAAGTAAAACTCACACCAACCTGTTTTGTTTTTCTTCTTCTCGCGCTCAGCTTTGAGCTCTTCCATGGCCTGAGACTTTTTGTCAAGTTTTTCGTCGCGTTTGGATCGTCTCTCCTTGTTGTGTGACATAACCTAGAGACGGGAGGATATTACAGACACACTCAGCATAAAGAAAAGGTGTAACACCACCACTGCATTAGCTTAACCTTATTTAAAGAACAACAAAATCAACACAAAATAGAATCTATAAAAAAATACTGACAAAATAGTTTTGTGCAGAGGCTGTTGAGCACTATTTTGATATCCAAGCACCTTTTACTATGCATGATTCTTGGAAGTGGAGCACAGTAAAACACATTTATGTCATACAATATCTGTCTAATATTGTAGAAATGTCTCTGAAACTGGACTCACCACTTGTGTATCTGGAATCTGAGATAGCTTCCTCTTTTCTTGCTCTTCCTCCTGCTTCTTTTTCTTCTCCTCTTTATCCTTCTTCTTTGCCGTCTTCAGCTTTTTCTTGATTTCAAAACTGTCAAAAACAAACATCGTCTTCAATAATGCGGTCAATGTTAACGTGCCAGACTCTGCCTTAATCTTATTGCATGCATGTTTATTAATTTAGGAACATTTGAGTAAAAGCAGAACCAATGCTGTTTTTAGATAAATGTAATATTCTTTCCCACTCACCGTCTCTTTAGCACCTCTCTCTTTTCGATTCTGTTGAACAGCTCTTGCTCTCTCTCTTTCTCCGTCATCTGCTCCAGGCGAGCTCTGTCCTCCGCGTCTCCCATCAAGTCGTCATCGTAACCGTCCTGGAACACCTCGTCCTCAGAGGAGTCCGAGTCGGAGCTGGAGGATGAGCTGTTGCTCTCGGAATCAGACACCTCGCCTGATAAAGAGCGATTCATCGGCACAAATACAAATCAATCAGCGGAGTTCAGTTCCTATCCAGATTGCAGACCGAATTCTACTGATGTATTTTAACCCAATGTGCTCCTCATACACCAATTTCACATGTCTCCTAAAAGACTTTGTGTACAACTCTCAGCCGTGAGACATGCATTTTAAAAAGTGGATACTAAGCAGCTGAAATCTAACTGCTAGATCTAGAAGAAATATTTGTATTTGTTTACTTTGTTGTTTTATTAAATTGAATGGAAGCAATTAAAGATAATTTTTTTCTTGTCATTTATATCTTAAATCATCTTCAATATTTGCTCTGGATTTTGACCACGTTTCCAGAACTATTTCTCAAAGACTTGTCCCGGTTTTCCATAAACACGTCGACCCACTATATAGCTTGACAATGTAAATATACAATTAACAGCTTAGATGTTACATTGCGTGCCAGCTCGGATAAAAGGGATGAGTGAGTGAGTCACCCAATCCAGGCCACCTGATACCCGTGGACATGGCACCCTGGTGATGTGTGTAATCTAAAGTTCAGAATATGTCTCGCCACTCTGCTTTGCACTTTATGTAAGACGCCATTAACCCGAGGACATGTGTGTCAATTTGTTGACAGCGAGTTCCTTGACTCTAGTTTTTCCCCCCATTAAAAGCTGAAGACGTACCCTCCTCTGGTGCAGAGCTCTCAGCTGAGCTGTCTCCATTTGAGCTGCCAGACGCCGTTGCTTTATTAACCTTCTTCTTTGTCACATTCTTCTTGTCAGACCCTTTCCCTGGTTTAACCTTCTTCTTGCCTTTGGTGCCACCCACGGTCCACTAGACAAAGGGGTGAAAAATTCAGTTTGATTCATCAAATAGCTGTAGCTGTCCAAGTTGTTCTGTCCCAAACAGAAAAGTGAATACCGTCGACTGTCATACCTCATCGTCACTATCGGATGTCTCGGAGTCTGTAGAAGCTGCAGGTTTGCTGACCGGCTCTTCCTGATCACCAGAATCAACCCTCTTCCTCTTTGCCAAAGACAGGAGCTCCTGAAAATGAGAATGCAGCGATGTGGTTCAGAAAGAGCACCCAGTAAACTCATAATCACCCGTGGAAAAAAGGAGGAAAATGCCTCCTGCGAGTAAAGCCCTGCTCATACTTAATAAAATGTGTCTTGGATCCAATCCTGAGTGAACATCTTAAATACAGGTGAAAATAAACCCAAACCGCATGGAAGGTGCATTGGGATCTCATTTTTCAAGCCACATGCAGAGGTTAGATGCACACGGCCCTTGGTTATATTTAAGGACTGACTAGTCTAGTTTGTAATACGCATATAGAGGGACAAACCTCCGGTAACAAACAACATGTGAGCAAACAAGAATGAATATATGAATTCATCCCTGAGACAGATCCTACACCGAAGCAAGAATGTGAAGCTAAATAACAAAAGTGTATGTGCTAATAGCTGAATTCCTTCTCTGCTGTACGATCGTGGAAACGCTGCAGTCCGTAGAGATGGTCCCAAAGTAGGGATGCACTGATCCAGTGGACCGCATCGGTGGCTGATTCACATGTCGATGTCATTATAGAATACAGTGTTTCTGCCATCAGTCGCAGCGGGCTGATGGCAGAAACACTCCATTTATAGCTGCAAATACACCCCTGGCCTCATGATACATAAGATAAAAACGCATAGAGGTTTGCAGCTCGTCTCGTATTGGATCAGTTCTTTGTATCGGCAAAGTCGAAGTATCAGAATCAAAACTGGGAGAGACAGTGTTTTAAATACTGCAAACATTTGCTCTGCATTAGCTGTCTTCATCAATGTAATCTCAAAACACAATCGTAGAACATTAACCAGCCCATATACACACACAAATAAAATCCTACTGATGATTTGGGCAACCAAGGGAAACACTCTTCTGTTTATCACTACCTGTGTCTCTAAGCTGAACTCTTTGGTAGTGTACTGTCAGGTACAATGCACATGTGGGGTTTAATGGTGATCAGTTATACTGAAGCTGTACGTGTATTACAGCTCCTCAGACTGACACGTTAGACTGCAGAGAGCTCCTTCCCGCCGCTCAGCCAAGAGCTTGTTTGACAACAACACCGAAATAGACCTACAAGCTCTGCGCCCATGACGTCATTCGGCAGATAAGGTTGTTGGGTTCTTCCTTCTCGCTAATTCAAGCGCGACTCCTTCTCCATTTACGACTTCAGTGTGTGTGCAAACGTTACCGCTCTCGTTCACAATCTGAACACTAACAAACAAATCCCCCCCAAACGGTGTACGGGCAGTTGTCAAGCAGATTATCAGTGAAAGGCCCCATGGCGCGGCATTTTGGTGGTTGATGATGATCGCTTGCGTTTAGGGAATCTCTCGGAGTGTAACCTTTGACGTTAGCATAACTTAGCAGGCTAATGCAAAGACACTGCTTTTTGAACAACAACCGCACACGTTCCTCCGTCCTGCATACCTTAGAGAGACACTTTTATTTGTCATCGAGAAGGGGTGTTTACTGAGAAAGAAAGGAAGCGAGGACTGTAAATAACACAGGCCCAACTCTCAGCTTGTTCAAGCGAGGCAAACCACAGTCCGTTAGCACACGTTAGCTTCCCCTCAAAGTGCTCACAACTTAGCTAATTAGCGAACTGTTGTAACAAAATCTGGGGAAAAAACGCGCACCTACCTGATCTAAATTATCGTCGCTAGCACTGTCTTCGGAGTCAGAGTCAATCACGACTCGACCTTTCCGCTTCTTTACATTCACCATGATTAGCTGCACTAGCTAACCTGCTAGCTACCTCTGTGGCGTCTAAATGTTTGAGGCTAGCCGTTTGCTTGCTAGTCTCGAGCTAGTTGGCTCTGCAGTCAGTCACACAAAGGCAGTACTGAGCATGCGCGCTCGCACTTATATCATAGCTACAATTGGGGTTTATGGCTCTTCCAGAGAAATAAAAAATAATATGTATGTTTGCACACTTATCATATTACTTTATTGATATAGTTGATATAAAGAATACGAGGACATTGACGGTTAGCTAAGAATGGAACTATATACTGATAGTGAGTGTGTCAGTCAGGACATACATCTTGGGTGCACTACTGCGATCTTCAAGGTCCACGATAAATCAACATTTTACTGTTGAAGCTTCAATCTGTAGCTCCGTGAGTTGAGTTCTTGTATTTGTAAATGAGATCAGCACACGACCAGTTTATACATGTTTTCAATCCATAACAGTGTTTTAAAGAGATAACGTAATGGATTTGTCAGACTAATCCAAGAACCGAAGTCGGGGAAATATCCATCCGTCACCATTTGTTACAGCATGATCACAGTAAGTAGAAACAGATTATACTAAACATTTATTCAATATCCCATTGTTATTCTTCAGAGTAACGTTTATGTAGACCATATTCATTGCAACGTTAGCTATGTTTTTAAATGCTCTCAAAATGTGGTCTCACTCATTCATGTACTAACTAGAGGTTTCAACATTATGAAGAATGCAAAAACTGCTATATTCTCCTATATAATAAGAGCAAATCTTAACTCAAACTCTTTGCCATGTGTTAAGCTCAGACCAGCAAATACTTTGTATTTATTTATATAATGTATGTAAATGTAACAATTAAGTAAAAACAACTGCAAAAGATTTAAAGTGTCATCAAAGTTTCAGTAAATACATAGATATTTTTAATCATTACCAGAAACTGGTTTGCACTGTATGTGAAGACATAGGCTACTAATACAGCACATATGCCAAGAGGACATCAGTGTATGAATTAGTGTAGAAAGTCTAAGTGAAACGGCAAGTGCAATTTATTAGTTAAAATCATAATTGATTACATTTTATTCTTTTGTAATTTCAAGATACTTAACGTTGATAATCCATAACCACTTTGAAACCTCGGGTGTAATGACACTATTTTTCTGTGTGATGTATCCCAGCAGTGAACCGTCCATATCACTGCTGAAATGTCTCTGCCAAAGATCACACGTCTCCCCTCAGTGAGGCTGCTGAGCTCCATCCAGCGCCACCAGCTGCTGCTCCCCTCCATCACTCCTCCCACTGCGCCCAGAAGAGCTGTGAGTCAGGGCGAGTATAGACGACCCGGCCAGCCCAAAGAGGACAAGTTCCCAGGGCAGCCGATTAACTTTGGCTTCTCAAAGGGTTTTGAGGGGATAAAGAAGCATTTCACACTGCTGAAGAAGGAGTTCTCTGACCGCTGGGTTGGTCCACAGGGCAAACCCCTCCTTGAGCACATGTTGGAGCAGAACCGAGTGATATGGGAGTTCAGAGGCCCAGAGAGCCTGGACCAGTGGACAGTGTCCTCAGATCGTGAGATAGGAGGCCAAAGTGAAGCTTACTTGAAGCTCGGCAAAAACATGAATACCTGTTTCCTGTATGGGACTCTGAGCTCTACACCTCCAAGGGATGGAGAAACGCGCTACAGTGGCTACTGCACCATGCGCTCAAAGCAATCACTGGTTAGTGCCTTGCTGTTTTTTTTCTTCCAGGTTTAGAAATCATACACTCACTTCTAATGAGGTTGGGGAGTTACTATAATAGAATCCTGCACCATTGAAGATACTGAACACGTTCTTTGGAAATGTCTCGTCAGAGGCCGATATCACAACTCAATACATTTAAATATGTCTACTTTTGCCCAATACATACATAAATATAAGCATAAGTATTTCCCAACCATTATGGATCATGATGTTTATATTAATAGGTCATTTTCTCCAAGTAAACAGATATTTAGACATTTATTGATAATTGTGGATCTTCTATGTCGCATGTACCTAGATCTAGCCACTTTGGCAGGGAGCCAGAAATCTGTTTACCAACTGCCATCATTATTAATTCCCAATACTGACTAGTTCCTCCTCCTCATCCTATATTGATCATTTTTTGGCTTTTGTATTACAATGAAAACCTGTCCACACCCACGGTCTGGAAGTGGCAGTTATTTGGCAGATACAGCTGCTCTGGACCTGCACTTAACCCCAAAACGTTTGGTCTCTCCTAGGTTTCATTCGATAGAAAAAAGCACAATGATTTGTCCAGTTTCAACACCCTGCATTTGCGAGTACGCGGTGACGGACGTCCGTGGATGATCAATATTGCCACAGAAACATACTTCTCACACCAGAAAGATGACATATACAATTATTTCCTGTACACCAGGGGAGGCCCCTACTGGCAAGATGTCAAGGTACGCAAAAGCTAAATAAAATCATGAGGGTTCTAGTGCCATGATCTATGCTGATGTACCAGAAGAAATCGCACAGATTTTGGAGATGGTGTTGCCACAATTATGCTTTTAGTTAAAGCAGTTTGTTTTTTCTTTTGTCTATTATGAAATGTAAGCAGTCCTTCTAACCCTAGTGTGTTACTCATCTACAGATACCTTTCTCCAAGTTCTTCCTTACAAATCGTGGGAGGATACAAGACGACCAGCATCCTCTCTGGCTGGACAAGGTAGAGTTAAAGTCAAACTAACGTGGCATCAAATATAGAGAGAGGCAAAGTAACAATTACCTGAATATATCTTTCAACCTTTGACTATCATTCAAATACATTTTGTTCACCTCATGTGCCGATTAGTTTATATTTACCACATCTTTTTGTATTTGCAGGTTAACACCATTGGATTTACCTTGGGGGATAAAGCAGACGGTCCGTTCCAGCTGGAGATTGATTTTGTTGCGGTCTGCAAAGATTATGCTCACACTGAGGAGTTTGCCTACGAGGTGTACAAGAGAAATCCAGACATTTGAGAGCAACTGCTGAAACACTGCAGATGAACGGTTATTCAATAATGGCCAGGTTATACTGAAACTACCAATAAACAAGTCCACCACCTTCTTGGGGACAATCAGTTACATCCCAACAATCATTCCTGGTAACACTTATTTTTTTAAGACACTGTATATTTGGATTCTAGCACATGGACTGGGGTACTTTAGTAACTGTGTGCCACCTGCAGAAGTAAAAGCCCTGAGGAAGTTACTTGTTATAAAATGATATTTTATTACAAGACATTAATTGAGACCATCTTGCTGCTTTAAAAAAATTAAAAAGTTGTTTATCTTGTTCCAAGACTTGTATGAGACACATTTTCCTCCAACAGATGTTAAACAACCAGATCTAAAACCAGAACCATGAACAATAAAAAAAAATACATCTCATGTGACTTTTAAACATTTTTTGTGGAACAGATTTCCTTACATCATCCAGACTAAACCACAAAAGAAACTTAAACTTAAAAATGGAGAACGCAGACAAGGGACTCTTTTTATCGGTCTTTCCAAAAAGGTAAAAACAAAGCACATCAAATTATAAGAACAAAATTACAGTTTTAAATACAGCAAAACAGGATATCGATTCTCTACAAAAACACATAAAAAGCATCAGTGAGAGCTATAAGGTGTTAACACTACACCATGAGTCAAATCTAAAAGAAATGGTTTGGTAGGTTAGATAGAAGCAGAAAACGAGAGCTTCCTGACAGACTAAAAGAGACTGCAGGAAAGAAAGCGTCAAAATATTTACACTGGAGAAACAGGCTGTACAAAACGTCTACAGACAAGCACGATGTTTTTACATCATGACAAGGCCTCTTCTTGCCCCAAGCATACTTGCTTTCTTCTGCTTCCGGTCTTCGGCATGTTTTGCTCTCCTGTCCCCCCTAAAATAAGATAAGAGACTGATGTTATACGAGTCATTTCTAATGGGAGACTAATCTATATCAGCCAGTGTGTGCTTTCAGTTTAAACATACCGTGTCTGGACTTTGGTCTGTTTGTAATTCTTCTGATGAGAGTTGCCAATCAGTGACTTGTTGGCTGCTGCGTTTTCTTGGATGTCTCCAAACGGCTTGAGTTTACCTAGAAACATAAAAACTGTGATTTGTCTGTCTACTGAAACTATATTTCAGAGAAACAGAAATAATACGTGGCGTTGTACCTGAATGAGGCTTGTAGGCGAGGACACGAGAAAGACTGGCTTTCAGATCAAAGCCTGACTTATTTTGTGTTCCGGGGGTTGTTGAAGTACTTGTGTTGCCGATGAAAACAAACGCTCCTTTGGAATTAAGCGATGGAGAAATTAAATCACACTTTACGCACATATTTTGGCAAATGAAGATCCATTTCCAAGGATTAAAAAGGCAAAGGTACCTGGAGATTTTGGGGCAGAGAAAGTTGAAATCTTGGCATTTCTGGGCCTTCCTCCATCAGCGGGCTGTTTTTGTGGGGTGCTGGAGGTCACACAGAGCGTCTTGCGTGCCAGCGTCTTCACAGAGGACCCGTTGTTCTTGTTGTCACGAGTGGCTTCTGAGAACCTGCAAACACATGTGGCTGTTAAAGCGTCGCATTGAACACCACATAGCAAAGAGATGCATTTCATGTCAGTGGAATAGAGCTCTACAAAGTAATCTAAATTACAGGGTATGTTTCTGTTGATTAGGGTGTAAAAGGGCCATTTGACGCAATGTTGTAAAACAATACATCCTGAAAAGTTCCTTGTAAGAATGTTATGAAACAATTTCTCCATAAGAGAGTGGCCGAGAAGGAAAGCGACTCACCGAACATTGATCCTGCGAGTGGAAAGGACAGATGGTCTGAACGGAGCATCTTCCTTCCCTGCAGGTTTATTTGGAGGAGCTTTAATGGCCGAGGGCAACGTGCGCCTGTCCTCAGCTGGTCTCTTGGTCACTGAGACAGGGCTGAACATGGAAGCACGACTCTGATTCGCCTTCTGTAGAACACATGAATTCAGTCCATCACCTTCACTGCACTCTGGATGTGGTCTATATGCTGCAGCTGGTGAGGATACCTACCACTTGAGTTTTGCCCTCAACTTGCTGCGGTTTAGTTTTGGCTGAAAGCCTCTAAAATGAAACATAAATTTAAAAAACAAACCAAAACACCGAGTTCACAAACAGAACTTAAATATGTATGGATTAAATCATCCTAAACGGGTTTGAAGCTTTTGAGTACCTTCAGCTTTTTAGTTGAACTTCTGGAAGTCTCCATCTGTTTGGTCTTTCGCTGGACATAGGTGTCAATCGACTCCATCTTGTTAAATTGTGCCTCGTGGAGTTTTTTAAAGTCTATAAAAGAGACGTAATTTACAAAAAATATTTTGATTAGTTAGTGTGGGAGAACCACTGCCTTACTGTAATGTGGTCTCTGAATCGTTGGTTTAAAAGAAGATTGGGAGAGAGCAACAAACAAAGAACTTACTCGGGGTGACAGGATTCAACAACGGCTTGTTCTTCTGCTGGCGTCCTTGGAAAAGAGGGATTTTACCGGCTCTGGCCACTTTGGGTGCTTTTTCTGGACAGACATTCAAAATGCATGTCAAATTAAAGATTAGCACTTCATCACATCTGAAGAAAGACAGCTGCAGCAACACATTGGGCTCCAGAAGGAACAGGCTATTCAAAGCAGAAGAAATCAATAGTTACACATTTGTACAACTGACCTGTGTCACTCTGCAGGGGTGCTTCATCCTGAATGTCGGGCTGCTGCTCACTGCCTGTGGCCGGGGGCTCAGCTTCACTTTTGTCAGAATCCTTGGTAGAGGACACTTTTCTCTTCTTAGCACCACGGGGTGGACTAGATGCAGCCACTTCAGTGTCACCCTTAAAAAGGAACAACAGATGTTCAGTCTTTAAACATCCTGAATGCAAATCATTGACACAACAGCAAAGCAACCCTGTGTATAGGGATCTTAGTACCAAGCTTGGAATATGGTGCCAACGAGGAATACACATGCACAATAACACGTGCCAGGATGCAGACATTGTTTTTGATATATATAAAAGTGAGTATGTTATGATGATCTCTACCTCTGTAGCACTTGGAGGTGACCTGGCATCACTCTCAGTCACTGCTGCAGTATCCCAGCTCTTTCTCTTGGTACAGTTTCTTTTGCCTCTGCGTGTGTTCACAAACACAGCGCGGCTGAAAACGTCTTCATTGCCAGATGAGTCTTTATTTTCCTGAGCACAGTCTTGTGTCACACTTTCGTCTTCTTGAACGGTAGTAACATCGGTCTCTTGTAGCTGGAAAACACCACAACAATACACCGGTACAGGTATTAATTAAAAAAGGACACGATTTAAAATTGATTTTAGCAGTGAAACAGAACCAGTGGCCATGATGAAGTTACCTGTCCTTCCTCCTGCTTGTCATTTTCTCGTTTATAATGCTGCTTGATCGCTTTCAGGAGTTTATCGGCCTGTTTTCAAAGAAAACAATGTTAGCTAGTTGAGTAGATTTCACCAAATGCAAACGTTAGCTAGCTAATTAGAATAATTAGAGTAACCGTTAGCGTAGCTTAGCACAGTTGGAAAATAACCTGCACGTATTTCTGAATTAATTTAGAAATAAGTAAACCTACGTAAACGTACCTTCATATTCGCTTTGAGCCCGAGCTCCTTAGCGAGGCTCCTCAACTCTGCATATTTCATGGAGTCCAAATCCATCTCGGTGTGATAGTTTATTCCGTTTTGTGAGGAAGAAATCAGCATACACACGTTTACTTTGTCACGCACCGCGAGCTGTGGTTGTCTAACGGTTCAAAAGTACTCCGATTCAAAACACAGCAGCGGGAGCCGTGTGATTGGCTCCTGCGCGTGACCGGATGTAGCTCGCAGCCAATCAGAGCGAAGATACTTTTTTTTTGGCGTTCCGCCCATTGTTAACGTAATGTAACATTTGAGCCACTTATCTCAGTACGTTAACGTTCTCGCTTGAATTTTGACGCGTAAGATAAGTCAGATATTATTTTTACTTTTTATTGTGCTTTTTTTAATCACTTGATTTTGTTGAAACGGATTTTCTTTGCCAGTATATCGGCATTTACACATTACTCCACGTGGTGGCGGTGTTTACATCGAGCACACTGACGTTGCAGCACGTCAAAGGGGGTAAAATACGAGGAAGAGACGTCCAGCTTTCTGCAGCCGAGTTCAAATTCTCAAGCGGGACAACGAGCCAGCTAGCTTTTGCTCTGTAAATCTCCTTTGACATGGAATTTGACGAGAGCCTTATAATCCAACGTACACACGCAGCAAAGATGGCTGAACACAAACAGCGGATGACTCTCCACTGTCAGCAATGCCACGCTGTGTTGGGGGACTCCCTCGGCATCTGTGGGGAGATTAAATGTATGGACTCCATCGTGTGTATAAGTAAGTTTGCTTCAGTTGACATTAACTAGGTTGGCCTGGTTGTCTAAAGTTACAAATAACAGTAAAGTTAGTTTGTAGTAAATCATTTTATTATGATTGTTTTATCTTTTAGATGCAAAAACATATTACATTCTGCAGAAATGTAGTTTTGTCTTTATCTCTGCCACTTTGTTTCCTGGTGAGACTTCTAATATGTGCTCCTGTACCCTCCCCACATCGCTGATTATCACATGCTTCATCCCAATACGATACTAATCAATACTTTGCTGCTTGTCTACCCTCAGGAGTGACCAACGATGTGGTCATCAGTGATGCCATGGAGTCAGGACACAAAGGGGAAATGACTAGTTGGTGAGTGAGAAAAACAAGCTCCAAAATATACTTAAAAAAACAGTGTCAGTTGCCAACTCATGTGGGGAAAGTTAAATAATGTTTAAAAAATACTATTTGTTACTATTATGTTTCCTGCCTGAAACTTACTCGCCATAAAGTTATTGAAATAAATTAGCATATACATCTTTAGAGCATTGTTGTCTTCAACCTTTCGAAGGACACACACACACATATATAAACAATAAAGTAATGCATATAACATAACATCCCCATACACGATAATGGAATATCAGATTTAGGTTTAAAATATTGAAAGGCTCTAAATTCTAGTAGTCCCACATAAAACCTCTTCATGCTGTTGACTGTGATTACAGGTTAACGGTTTCTGTCTGTGTCCTACTGGTTTTCCTTTCAGCATCTACAGTTCTCTAAAATGTCGCGGCTGCCGCTGTGCTGTGGGGAAAGTCATTCACTCTGCCCCGTGGCGTCTGGCCACGGTTCGCTCCATGTTTCTCCTCCACAAAGCAAACATCAGTTGGTAAGCTCCGCTGCCTCCGTGAGCACACGAGCATATTGACTTCTTCAGTGTCTAGATGGCTAAAGTAAACGGGTGCTTTATGAGTGTTGCTCATCCCATGAATTGCTTTTTTTAAAGCTCATGTTACGGATCAAAACAGCCAATTCATGTTTTTTTTCCACCGATTCATTTTATGGACATTGTTGGTATGAATGTATTTTCTCTCTCCGCAGTTACATCCTCAACCGCAGCTCGATGGTGACGGCATCCTCACTGAAATTTGATATGAAGCCTCTCAGAGAAAGCATGAATAAGGTGACACAACCACATCTCATACTGTTTATACCTGTACCTACAACTGCAGTGCTTCACTTCAATCTAATACTACTGATCCAGACATTTTTATGCATTTTAATGAAATACCTGTAAACAACGAGTCCTTTTAAAAGACACATTTTGTCCCCTTGAAGAGAATGAGCTCTAATTTTGCGCTATTACCCATCAGCCCCAGCTGTTCTGAGGAAGCCTCTTGATTAAGTGGCACTCAGCATTTCATCAAATCCAGTTCCCTTTGAATTTGTACTTTTCCTACATGTTGTAGTGGGTCAAAGGACTACTGTGTAAAGTAAATCCAGGCAGGAATGATGGATGCTTTGGGCCAAAAAACAATATTTTATACAGACTGTATGTAAGAAGATTTGTCTTTTTTTTTCGTTGCAGGTGAGGCAGCAGTTTGAAGCACAGTTGGATCAGATGTCACACATGAAGAGCAGATTGGCTGACAGGAGTGTTGGCAGTGAATTCATCAAGTAGTGTGCACACACAACCTCAACCATGTGTCCTCTACTCTGTCCCTCTTGTAGACCAGTTTGGGTTGTAAATTGTCGTTGTTTCTTCTCCGTGTTTTGTTTCCATTAAAAATTTTCGGTGATACACATAAATGCTCTTTGGGTCTCATTCATTAGTTTGGATCAATGTCTGCAGATTTATTGTGGTGCAGTTTAAACACTCTAAAACTAACGTAAATGTATCGGCCACCATTAGTATCTAGTGTTTATAGCTACCCTGAAACTTAGTTTTAATGGCCTAGTGGTTCTGACTATCTACTATATACAGTATATGAAAAACTGTCTCATAAACTAAACTCCCAACAACTATTATATCACTTGTATTTCACTGTCTCCCTTTTGATTTCCCATTTCTTCTTTTGAGGGGATTTAATAAACACACAATCTGTTAATTCGAGAGCTTTGTAGGTGCAGGTAGCCAAGATGTTATACTTTATAATAGCCAGGCTAGCGGTTTGGCCCTGCTGCTAGTCTTTATGCTAAGCTACGCCAGTTGCCTCCAGGTCCATAGCGTACAGCCTGAGAGTGGTAATGAGCTTTTTTTCATTACCATTTCTACTCTACTGCTGATGATGTACATTATGTCATTCACTCCACAACAGCACTCAAACTGTAAGTAAACATCAACACCCAGCCCTCCAATTGGCACCATGCTGCATTTTATTGCTGAATTTCTCATAGATTCTTTTTTTTTTTTTTTTTTGTTCATACAAAACCAGACAAGAGGCTCACATGTAATAAGCATGCCCATGTCCTCCCTCTGGAGTGCATAGTTTCTACACAGTCCACCTCCTCGGTGGACAAGTTCACCAACAAAATAAGTCATTTATCATTTAACCTATAAGCTTTTGTATAGTTGTTTTCTTCATGGGAACGAAGGCTGATCAGTGTATTTCAGCTGCACTGTGGCTGTACTGCCATGGTCATGTTCGACACAACAGAGAGAGAGCAGAAACACTTGAAACTACTCTCCGTTACTTCTTTTTTCGGTGCAATTTACTCTGTAAAAACCACGAGTGGTGGTCAAAGCTACTTCAGCACGCTTGCTGTTGTGTCAAACAACCGTCCCCAGGCTGTCACCTTGTCACAGAACATCTGATATGAACATAATTAATTACACTCATTCACATTACAAAGTTGGATTATTGCATGCAATACAAATCATTCATTATTCCGCTAAATCATGCATATTATTGTTGTTTTTAAACCCCCATATATTCATGTTGCTAGACGGCTACTTGTTTATAAATTGCGATTATAAATCCCCACAAAGAGCATTACGGGGTTTTTAGAACACAGTATTCAAGACAGGATGGTGGTGATGACAGTGCAAGTTAGTACATAGAGAGAAAGTGCTTTTCAAACAAGTGTCAAGTTCATTCAGTAAGTCCTTTGCAGCCACAGAGTTACTGAAAGTCTACATTTCTAAAGGAAGGGGGGAGGGGGGATGTAAAAATGCTACAAAGGATTTTAAATTCAAAGCATCTCTCATGTACCGATCGGTTTACATTATAGTTTTGGTGTTGAAAGAATACAAGGCGGAGAAACATGTAAGTGTGTAAAACACGATGCTACAGCTGCCCTCACACACACTTTGTTCTGCAGGTAGTATCCCAGACCTTCACAAGCGATACTGTATTCTAAAGCCAAATATTATACGGCTCCCAAAGAAAGTGACTAAAAGATAGCTACCGCCCGGAGGTGTAAAAAAGAGAGAGACTCCTTTTAACACGTACACCCTGGCACTAAACTCATGCATTATTGTAGGTTATTGCTTCTAAAACTATAATCAAATACAATTGTATGGATTAAAATATCTCGCTCTGAATCTCAAAACTGTGAGGTATTATGTACAATACAATGTCATGATGAGATCTTAATTCTAAGGACTGAAACGTAACGTCGGACCCCAACCAATTCTATCCAAATCTAAGATTAAAGATCGATTCTTTTAGAACATTCCTCTAAAGGTTTCTATCAATGTCACAGCTGAGACTTGGGACTTTTTTGAGAGCTATTTAACTGTCGCATGATTACTATCGAATTATTTTGGTGCTTGAGAGTTCATAAAGATAATTTAGGACATCTCTCAAGCTTTTGTCCTAATAAGAATCCTACAGCAGTCCTGTTAGAAATAGCGTACTCATATTGAGCATATCCGCCTATACAAACTTGAATTAACACTTATATTAACACTTGCATATCCTGATTGTGTCATACTTTATAGGTTTTATTACGCTCCTTATTCCACAGCCTAAACGTGGAATAAAAAGGAGACCTTGCATTCATTTAAGATTGTAGAGCGAAGCTGTATCTAAATGTAGTTAAATCAAAAAGGTTGAGTACGTAAATCTACCGTCATCTACTTTACGGAAGTGGTTTCCACAGTTTTGAGCTCCAGTTTAGTCTAGAATTGGATTTCACTATTCTTCATGAAGCAAGCGTCACTACTGGTCATGCATGGCTACTGTGGTGCTGGCACCACAGTCCCGCTAAATAAGCTAATGCACATGAGTCTATACATATCTTAATGGAAGACATTGGTGATTTTGTTGCTTTCAAACAACTTGTCACTTGTTTATACAATATACAGTTTGGTCAACAACATGACAGTTAAGATCAAATATTGCACAAATCCCGGTAAATGTGATTTTTTTTTCTTTCTTTTTTTTTTATATATATAAAAAGTAAGGAAAGTAAAAGTTGAAGAAATGAGAGCAGGGTTTCCTTTGAGTAAGGACAAATCCACAGAAAGCATGAATCAAGGAGCTGCTATTCCAGCTCTGGTGTCTCTCGTCTTACTGGCAGGCAGAGACCAAGCCGCATGTTTGAGACGACACATTCACTTACTTCTACTTCTGAGTTATTTTGTCTTATTTCATATCTCAATAACAATATATGGAGAGTATTTCACATATTGAGTATTTTCAAAGACTATTTTCTCATCTAATTAAGAACTATAGTGCAAAATAATCAGATTTTCTAAGAAATTTGAGTCAGTACGTCCTTGTTATTATCAATTTAGACGATGTAATTGTGTTTCACGACAACTGATTTCATCACCAAATGATTCCATTGAAAGACGATAAATAGACATATTGAATTGTCGCCTGGCTCTACACAAGAGGAATCAAATGGTGAAGTCTGTCTCTACCTGCAGCGTTTAAATAATGTTCATCCGTGTCTGATATGAGAGCTCATGTTGAAAAGGAAAAGAACAATATGAGAACAAATCCACTGAGAAAGACTAAATAAAAGTAAGTCATGGGGCGGAAAGACAAAATGAAGAAAACAGTGAGGGAAGAAAACTGGACTTTCAGAATAAAAGACTAACTTTAAACACTGCAAAATGCCAAAGTTTAGTGACATCAAGGATAAAGTCACAAGGGGAATATTTCTAATTCTGTCTCGACCTTAAATTTGTGAATAAACCTGCAGACTTGACAAAAGGAGAGCACCGAAATGCAAAAATGGGAGCGTGGAGTAGAAATACTACATCGTGACCTTCCTTTAGAACAGATGCATAGGACAGCTCAGTCTGAGTGAGTCTTCATAATGCTTGTAGTTACAGTACATGACAGTACGCATCATGTGCTTCTGGGCTGCTCGGCCGTCTATTCACCGGTCAACAACCTCACTTATTAACCCTCTAAAACTAAATATATCCAGGACAACATTTAACTGCTGTGGCGCTTGACAACCATTAAGTTACTTGCACTGATGGCGATGAGGTAGTGCAAACCCCCCCCCCACCCCCACCCCAAAAAACAAAAAACACATCCTATGAGTCTAATTTCATCACAGGCCTTGATCTTCGCTACAGTATCTTGTGTCTTTACTCTCTTCCCAGCAGTTTGTTCATTATCAAACTGCTTTGATCTAATTACAAAGCGGGTGGGGATCTTTTTACTATTTAGGAAGCATCAGTGACTACGTTTACATACAGCCAGATTACAGTCTAACGCAGATCTGACTGAAAATGCCCAAAATAATGGAGACTTTCAGTCCATCACACTGAGAACTGAGCCTTTGGCTGCATATACACGTAGTCAGAGTGTGCAGATGGAGGTCAGACTAGATCTTGGCAGATGTCCTGACTGATGATCGCGTGGCAGAAACAGGGGGGGGGGGGGGGGGGGGGGATGCTGTGGAGGAGACGGGGCCAATGTCCCAGCAACAGCAGGAAGGAGGGCACCCGTGTCCCAAAAGCCCAAGGGGCTCATCTTCACAATGACTCCTCATCCTTTACCTCCAGAGGTCTGGGTGGTCGTGGAAGTGATCCGTCGATGGTGCTAATTTGAAGGGAGACGCTCTTCCAATCGGGGCTTTGGCTGGTTTCACAACTGCATTGCCTGGAAAAAGCCATCCTAGAATAAAAATGTACACGTAATTTCATTATTATAGAATTTATATAATTTGAATCAGTCGCTTCTAAAGATGAGCAGCTGAAAGACAAGATTATATTAATAATATCATCTAGAAATCTGCTTATTTCTCAATAAACAGCTCTAATTTACAGCCTAAAAAAAACATTGTCTAATTTTTGTAGATACTGATTGTTGTGACTAGTAATTATTCGATTAGCAAAATGCATATTTAATATAGGAGTGAATTTTCCTTTCTTTTTTTAAAATACATTGCCAATTCCCAAAACAAGGAAAATGTGCAGAAAGGGTCCGGCTATGACTGAAGAGCACTGACCTTGGTCCGAAATGATGCAGAGGTATTTCCACTGGGGTTCGAGCTGCTGCAGCTCACAACGGTAAATAAAAGCCAGAGGGGTTTCTTCTTCTACGGTGACACATTCAGCTCTCCCAAACTGGACGTACGCCGGGTTTCGGGGCCGCGCCCGGTGAGGACACATTTAGAGAAGAATACACCGATAAACCACGGAGAAGGTCTCTCTTTTTCTCCCTCCCTGCGTCCCGGAGAGGAGAAGGTTCCCCTCGTCCCCTCAGTCTCCGCACACCCTCCACCCTACGCCATTTTCGCTCTGCTACTACCAGCCAACGGAAGAGCGTTACGATTGTGCCGATGACCTGTCAATCAAACTGAAAAGCCCGCCCCGGATGTACTTCTTCATTACGTCTGACATTTACCAATCAGCTTTGTGGTGCGTTTACTGCCGCCAACTGACAGCACAAGTATGACCAGAATAATTAAGAAAGGCATTATTTAATTATTTTAACTGTAGGTTAGTGTGTGGGTATCAAACCCAGAATGTATATAAGCATTAAAAACACAAATTCTGAAGTAGAGCCCTTTAAAGAGTAAATTATTAAGGTATAGTTAGAGGTCTGTTAATGCTATGCTAGGTGGTCTAGCTAACTGGGCTAGTTGAGTTAACACTGAAACAATTAACTAGCTTGTTTTGATTGATTAGCATCAACCGAATATATATTTTGTATATTTATGTAGCTTTTATTATTCATAAAGCTAAACTGTATAAACCTAATAATAAAATTAATATCTTGGACTATTTCTCCCAACACCTTTCTGATGTTTACTGACAAAACACTTAATAATGGAAATATCTGCCAGTTGCAACCCTGTTCTAATTTTGTTTTTTTTTCTTCATGTAAAATTAAACTTTGCAAAGTTAACTAGCCAGTAACAGCAGGGTATTACAGAGTATTAAGTACATCATCTCTTATGAGAATAGGTGTGGTAACAAAGGAAAGCACACATTGTAGCCCAAGTCAGCCCGTCATCGTTAGCCCTAGTTTACTTTAACCTGGGCCTAAGATAAGTGTTCATAGAGACTAAGGACTAAATTAAAACCAGAAGGTTAAAAACAACCACTTCACCAATGAATTGACACAAATTAAGCATGGCACATCATTTATTCAAATCAAATTTATGAATCACTTTGATAATACCTAGACCAACGTCACATAACGTGTGAATCATATCTGATTGATAATCACATAATGATTAATAAAATGGTCACCATGTATTTCCTGCACTCAGCTGCTGGAAGGTGATCTTCTAATGATTTAACAAACTCACATTAAAGATTAAAGGGTCAGCCATTTGCACAGTTCATGTACACTAGCCTGTACAGAAAATATATATTTTAAAGCATTAGATTCTTTTTTTTTTTTTTTTTTTATCTCTGGAACTATTCGATGGGAAAAGAAACAGCCAGACAAATATTGAAGCAGTGCATACATCAACACACACTTTCCTTCGCCACAGGAAAACTGATCAGATATATAGAACCATAGCACGTTATCATGGGGTTACCTGTTCTAAGTCTACAAACTAACTAATCCACAGCACAAACTCCCTCACAGGGCCCGACACTGTTAGCCAGGGCTTTAAGACTCAATCTGGAAAGCAGGACACGGTGGCAGCTGAATCCTAGCGAGACCATTCAGCAAATGAGTAAGAACAGGTGCTAGGGAAGAAACACACACTAGCCAAAGAGATAGCTGCAGTTTTTGTGAAATCTTCTTAACGCCACAGTTTTGAACTGAACACGGAGTTCTTTAATCATCACCACACACGTGATGAATCAGTGGTTGAAAGAGGGTAAAACTCACTTTGGTTCGAGTCCAACAATTGAAACAGGTAATTACAATCTATTGGCAGTAGCTACGTTAACCCCTATGAAAAATAAAAATACACAAACTCGGCGATAGGTTCTGGTTTACAGTTGAGATAATAACTTATAAAAGGGGAACCAAAGCCACAGCACTTCAGTGAGTTACACACAAACATCTGTGGAGCAGATCTCCACTTGCTCTGGTCTGACTTGCTCTGCCACAAGTCCAAAAAAAAAAAAAAAACACTGTCTGTTTAGAAGTGGAATCAAACATCTAATAAGTTTCACTTTGAGCCATTGCATATTCATACGGAGGACACATCCTGTGCCATCTATCCATTAAACCGCATGATTAAACCTAAAATAAACGTACTCACTGCAATAGCAAAAAGCTTTAATGTACCGTACTGTCAAATCCATGTGAAAAGTGGAACAGCAGTGGTACTAACTGGGACCCTCTAAACGTTTTCTAATAAATAATGCTCCATGATTGAGGAAAAAAAGATTCATATTGCATAGAACAACCCAAGGCACGAAACGTTCCCCTTTGTTGACAGAGCAGTGCAGAAGCACAACCTCCAGATCTGTAACATGATCTACCCAACGCTCGGTCTGACGGTGTGTTCTCGTAGTGTGGGCTATGACAAGCTGCATGAGGCCGTGTTCTGAAATCAACCGATATGTTGAAGCTCTAACCAAAATAATAACAATAATAAAAGTTTATTTAATGTAGGAACCGGATGCTCATTTTCTGTTCCACGTCCACCTTCTCCAAGACCTGAGGAAACAATCAAAAAGAGTAAGTTTAGATACTAAACATATTTCCATGATCTGTAATGTGTAATAGACACAGTCAGGTTCAAACATAGCTCAACATCGGCTGAAAAACATTTAGCTAAATATTAACTCAAACACACAAAACATTAAGCATGCACTTTGGGGGGAATAACAGTATCAGGATGTGGAATCAGTTTCAATATTTAAATCCATTTGACTCACAAATTAAGAAACGTGTGCTCAAAATAATGAAAACCAACGCTTAGATGAACCTCAAAGAATTCATCCCGTGTGTGTTGTAACTATGCAGAAAAGTTCTGTCCTGTTCTCTGTAAAATGTCACACGACTTGCCTTGATGAATTCACTGAAGGAAATGGAGTTGTCTCCGTTGGTGTCAGCCTCCTGTATGGTCCTATCGGCAATGCTGCCGAGCTGCTCGTCTGAAATGTTTACACCAACCATCATCCGCAAGACCTGGAAGGCATGAACAACAAGTCTCTTCATGGTTAATGAATGCTGGCAAAGATTAAACAATAGTCGTGATGTTTGCACAAACAATATGGTGCTGGTGCAAGATAATTTGTAGTTATAGTAAAGCAGGAGCCACACATGACTGTATGAATTACACGATCATAAACACAGCGAACACATATTTACTGAAGAACAGGCAGCAGTACTGCGAGCTGCACGTTTAGAGCGTTGGAGGCTCACACTGACACACTGAGGTGTTTTGCGCAAAACAAGAGATCCGTCTGAGTCATTTAACTCCGAGCTTAGAGCAATTACAGGTCGCACAATGTCACCGAAACGGCTTCACAGAGGGACAACAAATAACACGGCCAGAGACCAAATACAGGATATTAGTCTGTCTGGGAAGAATCAACCTGTAGTTAAGATATCGCATCATTACCGGCACAAATCCCTCTCTCTACGGAGCATTCTGACATGCTGCACAATAGCATTGTTCCTTTGTTAAACATAGACTGAATAGCAAGTATTTTCAGAGGCATCTGGCTGATTTTCCGATTGCGTGAACACGTTGTTTCCACAAACCGTACCGTGACTCAGCATCTTATTTACATGACAAACCAAACCACTCACCTGCAGCAGCTCATCCCGAGAGATTTTGTCATCTCTGTCCAGGTCATACAGACGGAAAGCAACTGGAAGAATAGAATAGAATAGAAATGTACAAGCCATGTCAGACAGCGTTAATCTCACGATTAAATCCGGTGAATGTTCACGACACTGGTCACCGGCTCAGCCCAGACACGCCCGCGTGTGAGAGAGCTCTACACTCACACAGCAGCTTGTTTGTCCTGCTGTTGAGTGGCTCGCTGACAGCCACGTTCTTGCTCTTGTCGTTGTCCTCGATTGGTCTGAAGTGAGCCAAGGTCCGCATGAAGCCCCTGAAGTTCACCTGGTCCTCTCTAAAAACCAGAGACACAGAATATTATAACACAGCCCATTAAAGCAGAGGAAAAAAAGGATCTGCTACAAAGTTTGTCGCGGCTCAGATTGCCTTTTCATTCTAGCTGCTGTGGCAACACAATGAAAGCTCAAACTGGTCGAAACCTAACACCATATTAGAGAGTTAGACACTCTCCCCACCTCTATCCTCAAGTTGTTCTGAAGCAAACAACCCAAAACCAGAGGAACAAGAACACATCTATAAGCCACGGTTCAAATAAGATGCCTACACATCTGACTTTTTGGGATTTTAATGATAAATTTGGAAACATCTGGTTTTCAACTTTCAGAATGATAAAACAGCAAAAACAAACTGCAGAATATAGAGAAGGAACCTGCGGTGGTCAAAAAAAGAGTTGATTTGTTTCCCCCATAAACACAGGATTGGCAGAAAAAGTCTGCAGTCAGACAGCCACAACAGAAAAGCCCGGTGGCCTCGCTCAGATTTGTGGTGGTTGTGACTCAAACCAATAATGCAAACTCCTGCGAAAAAAAACAAGATCTTCAAAGACAGCAGCGCAACAACAGGGACGACTCACGCCTCAGGAAAGAACGCGTTGATAATCCGGTCTCCCAGCGGATTGATGGCCAACTCCGGGATCCTCTGGAAATCTTCTCGACTGCAGACATGAGGCGATATGAGATTACAACACACTTAGATATTGTAAATTTAGGACAATACCACAAATGAATACAGATTTCACACTGTGGTCAACCTTAAAAAGATGCAATACGGTACAAAGCTCATGCAGCAATGTCCTCGTTATTCTTTAAAACCTGACTTGATTTGAAATATGAAAACAGGAGAAGAAGAACAGAAAACAGGATGGCACAAACATTTTTGAAAATAGTTTTGGCTGGGAATAACGGAAGTTGGTCAGCGAGGATATCTGTAAAATCTCACTATTGTGGCAACTAATGGAGGATAAGAAGGTCACCTGACCGTGTGCTGTGACTGAAAACACCGGAGCAAGAACAAGCAGAACCAAGAACGTGTGATGTGTAAACACAACGTCTTTCAAAAGAACGACTTCCCTGAATCCAGAGAGGGATGTATTTCTGGTTTACCCTGGAGACCGATATGCAAATAAACCCCCGAGGCCAGATCGGAGGGCTGTGCGACACAAAGTTCGAAACAAATATTTTAGCAGCTTTAATGATTACCTTTTTCTTTACCCATTGTTTGTTTTGTCCAGACTAATGGAAGAGCCAGAGGTTAATCACAAACCATTGAAATGTCACACTGAGGTCTCAACTTCAAAATCTCAATGCGCTCAGATAATAAAGATTTAATCATCAATCCCCATCTGAGAGTGAGTGACTTCCTAACACATTGTGGCTGACAACGCTATTTAATGACAATGCAGTGTCGCTGCCCCATTGAATTTCTATTCAAATAGTACATTCGTCTTTGTTTAAGACAATTTTGCAAAGCTTTAATTGAGATAATCAACATGTTTGATCTACCACTGAACTGCTTTGGATCACAACCCACACAAGAAAGGTTTTTCCAAAATGCAATCACTTCAGACATGTAACTACCCAATCTGTCCTCCAGAATAGATTATATAAATACAATGTCTTGTCTGGTTACCTGTCAAGTGTAACCAGAACTAATCAGCCTCAGCAACTGGCTGTTTAACGTCTTTATTCTCACAGTGGTGGTTGTGTTACTGCTTACCTGAGGGTGCCGTTTTCTCCTTTATCCAGACTAGTGAAGCGGCTGTACAGGCGAGTGATCTGACTGTGTGAGACTGTGGGGAGGACACCAAACAAGTCCAGATCACCAGAAGATAACAGGCATTCATCGCTTCAGTCAAAAATAACTCTTTTCACCCAAATACTAGCCCTCATTACACTTCCAGGAGTCATATTCAGAGCTTGTGTGTGTGTGCACTCTTTCCCTGTTAGACAGTAGAGAGTCCTGCTATATATGCTTTTTGATTAAGTTCCTTTAAGTACGTGGTTTATGGGTTTCACTGAAGAAATATTAGGCTTAACAAGTAGCTGGTTAAGTAACGTTACAGTGAAAGGCAACATATCTCACACTTATGATCTCCACCACCATTAGTCCAAGTTCAACTTACAGCCAGTCTCCTTCTTAATTTCTTCAATTTCCTCTTCTCGGAGTAACGTGGACGCTCTGGATCCCATGTTGAAGTGTTAAATAAACGAGAGGACTTGATAGACGTCTTGCGCAACCTAGCCAGCTGTGGAAGAATCTCAATCCGGATTTATGTTAAAGTTAGCAAACAAGCTAACGTAGCGAGCTAAAAAGCCTGTTTCACTCGTGAAAGCAGTTGGAAACTAACAAAGCCGTTAAACACGACCAGCCGTTTAATGTTCTTTGAGTGATGTATCGCTATAGTCTGTCTGCTAGTTACGCTTTTCTACGGTCTGTCGTGTTTTCATTCTACCAGGACGGGTTACGGCCAAGTTACCTTCCTGTTTTATGACGTGGGTGGGAAGTAGAGGGCGGGTCCTAAACGAGGCCACCTCCCTACCAGGACGGCTTCCACGGAATTGGGTATCAGAGATTCTTGCCTTCCTAAAATTCGAAGCTAATGTCTTGTATATAATCCCATTCAATTTCAAATACCACATTATCCACTTTCTTGATCAAATAAAGTTAACAATCAAATTTCAAAAGAAAACAGTGGATATTTGAAAGTTCATAGATATATTACCGTCAGGCAAAGAACAGCTAGCTACAGGAGGGAGGCCCATCCCGTCCTGGTAGGGTGACCATCTCAACCGTAACAGTTAGTCAGCGGTGGAAATACTGTAGAGGGTATTGGCTAGCTATGCTAAATGATAAATGTAATGATAAAAACTAACAAATGATATTAACATCACCTCTAGACATATTTTAATAAATATGATCTGTATATTGTGTGTTTCTTTTCCACACAAAAAAGCTACAAAATAAAAATCTTTAAAATACTCCTTTTTCTTAATTAAAAAATAATCACAGAAACCTATGAATGTGCATTTTTTAATTAGGCTCAAACGTCAAAGTGTTATAACTATAGGCAAAACATATTTTGAGTGAATTGAGGGACTTGATGTGAAGTCAAATACAAATGAACATATACACATTGTAGGTAATTAAAAGGCAAATATAATAAATAGTAAAATAATGAAAGGCCGTAATAATTAACAAAGGGGCAGAATAATACAGCCGGACATCAATAAAAGAGAAAATCCAAATAAAGAACCTCCACACAAATTCAATTCAGCTTCATCATACTTTTTTTAAATTGTAAGATTCAGAAATCAGAAACTATCCACTAGATAGCGCAATTTCATTACTTCACGTGGAGTTTTATTATTTAACGCATTTATTTTTTGACATCTGTGATGCTGTACTATCTGTCAATTCATTCGATAACTAAAAATCGATCTAAACCAGTCAGACAAACGGTGGCACAGGGACTAATGACAGTAGATAATGTAATTGGGTTTGCAAGTAACTGGTCATGTGCACCTCATGGTGGCGCTAGAGGAGAAGTCAGGGGATCATCAAAGTCAATAGGATTTCTTGCCTGTGAACCATGAATGTCTGTGCATGAGCCAATTAATCCAGTAGATGAGATACTTCACAGGATAAACCATTTTCACATTAATTAAATATGCATCTTGTTAATTCTGTTGGTTATGCACATTATCACTCAAACTGAATTTAAGTCAAAGTACTTTTGGCATTTACATCAAGAATTTGCAGTGTCAAATTCTCTGACATGGATGTTTTTTAACATTAATACCAGCCAATCACAGGAGGCCCTGTGTGTATTTTATTTTAGGTATAGTTACATGTAATCAGCTAGGACGTAATCAAGGCATCATACAGTCTAATGGGAAGGAAGAAGAGGGCAATGTGGGCAAAGATTCAGATGCTAAATATTCTTAAAATCTTTTCTCACAGAGAAATATTCTGTAAAACGTAGCAGCTGTTAAAACATGCTCTGATAAAGCTGACAGTGGTTTATGCTAAAGGAGGTCCATGTGGGTCTAACTGCCCGTCAGACAGGAGTCCACACTTAGTCTTTTAATAACAGCAAGCATCTCACCAAGTGTAATATTATCCCAAAAACGTGATATTAACAAATATAAAAAAAACGTGCTGAATGGTCACAGAGAGAAAAAAGTTTCACAAGTCTTTTAATTTTTATAGCAGTTTTGGTCTTTCCGATTTATTTCAAGATTCCTGTGTTACAAAGTCTCTTGAAGTTCAAGAAACATTCAACATCAGTGGGACGTCCTTTACATCTCAATCAACCATTCATGCCAGGTGGTCCATACCACAAATACAGCTATGAGCAAAATAAATTAACATGAATTTCATGCTATAATTGTCAATCCTACATTCTAAAAATAATCAAAAGCAGTATAATATCATCCACAAGCCTTTCACAGTGATAGTGCAAACTCATCATAAAACAAGTTTAAAAGTTCTCAGTAAAATCAAAAAAACATCACAAGTAAAAAAAGAAACGTGTTAGTGTGTTGACAAAACAATAACGTCAACTCCACGACAGATTGGTTCTTTAGCAGTGCAAAGAGAAGCTCCGCCTTCCCGGGCCATGACACGTGGAAGAAGCAGTTTGATGGGAGACGTTCATGGATTTTTACTTGCTGTAATGACACACTGAGTCCATGGCGAGCTGGATGCTGCAGACCAACAACACAATGGGTTTCAGTATCAAATATTAAGGACAAATAACTAAGTATTCCTTTGCGTCTTAGAATTGTATGTAGTTTTATACAGATTGAACCACTATCACATTACTTCTTGCCTAAACTAGGCAGGTTAATAAACTAGTTTGTTCAGTGGGAAGTGGCGCTTACCGGTCTGCAGAGTATCCTCTCTCACACAGGTTCACCAGAGCGTACAGATGTCTCAGAGCGTATTCATACTGAAACACAAGAGGACATCACACGTGTCAAAGAAACGTCCCCCCAGTCGGTGATAATGAAATGTAAATGACCAAAGTTTATTCCCCCCTGTCGCATTTGTGGCGCTCCAAATGTCAAACAGTTCCAGAGAAAGGGGAAAGGAAACCTTTTTTCTGAATAAACACATACACGGGAACATTTTGTAAACAAGTTACGACCCAGAGTTTCTCATTCATTAGGCTGACAAGTATTAGCTGTGGGCGAACGGGTAGGATATAAAAAAAGAAGAAAATACCCTACCAGTCCACCGTTACGTTAACCACAAACACTTTCTAAATGTGACCCTTCTGTGCAGCTCTACCTCAGTTCTGTGCCAGTTGAAGCAGTTGTGCTTGTAGTGGTCGACTGCAGCCTTGTAGCACTGATGCTGGGAGAGTTCGGCTCGCTCGTTGAGAACCTCGTCGGCCTTGAGCTTGTTGCCGGTCACCCTCTCAACCACCCGGCGCATAGTCTCAGCCAGCACCTCCCTGACCTGAACACACACACAACGATAGATGAGATTTACGTGACGTGAACAGTCCTCCACAGAGGACCTGAAACACGTGACATGCTGCGACAGCAGAAACACCACAGCGCTCTGCCAATCTTCACCTTGAGGTGGGAGTTGATCTCCATCAGCAGCCCTCTTGCAACTCTGATGTCATTGGAGGCCATCATCTTCCTCTTGAGGATGGCCAGAGGAACGTCAGGGCTCGGGGTCAGATCCAGATTCTTAACTGGCTGCAGGGTCATCGGAGGAGCAGTCTGGCTGCTGGCCTTGGGGTTACCCTGAAACGCTATGACCTTCATGTGGGCCATCGTCTGTATAGAGAGTAAGAAACTCAAAATAAGTATCTAAATATGAGCAGGAAACCCCACAGCAAGAGGCATAAAAATCACAGCCAAGTCGACATGTTCCCTCCTCAGCAGTGTTCATTCTTTCTCTCACCTTGTTTCCAAACTGCTGGACGTGGCTGGTGTTTGTGTGGCTCTTTACGATCTTGAACTGCTTCACCAAAGTTTCTTTTGTCAGGTCCTCCTGGAAGCACAATGTGACAAAAACATTACCATTAACAGGTTTTCAGATTTTTCAGAAAATCACAGACTAAACAGAGCGGTTGTTTGTTGATTGTTTTATTATTCACTTTCTGTTTTGGGATGCTTGTATATTGAGGGGTCACAGGAGTTACTACTCTACTGTAGCTGCTGTTGGAAACGTTCACCACTTCCTTTTCCTGTCCCGTTAAGACCAGGTGTTTGGAACAGTAAGTAAACAAACCTTTAATGGACTTTATAGAGTCTCAGTTTCTATTGTACTCTTTAATATAAGTCGACAACAAAGTTGTAAACTTACAATTAAAAATGTAGGAATTAAAAGTTAACGAGAAAAGGCAAAAGTTTAGCTTGCTTACTTTTGATAAAAGTCAAACAAGTTAAAATGTTATACATCTTTGCATGCAAATCATTGAGGAGCTGAAAAGCAGCTGAACTGTAAATTGCTGAAGGCATTTAAATATGTAGTTTTATGTTTGTATGTGAGCACTAAAGGTAGTTGAACCAACACTTGAAAAGTAAGAGCTGAAAGCAGATGAAATGTCACTCCATGTGTGAAAGTTAACATCTGTAAGATGTTCACGGAATAAAACCATGTTTTTGATAGTTTATGTATCGGGGATTCAAATTACCTTCACACGCTCAGGGGATTGTACTCAGCAATACCTTTTGTAATTGTATCTAATTGATATCAGCCTCACTGTTTACTTCGTATCAAAGCTGTAGAAGTTACTGCTAAACAACCAAACACATTCCTCTGCTGCTCGGTAACATTAAAAAGCATACGATGGGGGTAGCTTATTGTGAAGCCGACACGGGAAAAGCCCTGTATTCATCACGGTGTACGCACGATTTTCCATCTCAATTTTCATAAGCTAAACCAGATTGTAATAACTTGTATGACATAAAACAGGGGGACACATCACCCACCACATCGGAGTCCTCCATCCAGTTGACACTGTACCAGTCTCCCAGGTACGTGTCCCTCTTCTCGTCATAGTAGCAGGCGTAAGAGGACTCGTGCGAGTTGGAGGCGGTGGTGGCGTACACTACAAAAAAAAGAAAAAAAAAAAAGATATAAACTCTCATGTTATGCTGTGTAGTATTTTGTAGAGACCTAAACACAACTCGCATGTCTGCTGAAACTGAAGGACAGTTTGTGAACTCACTCAGAGGTAAATGCAAGTTAAAGAGTGATTATGTTCCAGAAATATAAAGATATCTGATTTAGACTACAGATGAAAGTCCGGTAAAAAAAAAGGGATGTAACAACACCAGAACCTTGATTCGTCACATGAGGCCAAGCACATGACAAACACAGGCAATAATGCTGACTGCACTGTCTGACACACCAAAGGACTAAGAGTCAAAAACTGAAGTGAAGTCCCCAAACCAGACCACAGTGCTGAGCTCAGCCCAGACATGACGAAGAATGAAATAAAAAAGGAGGTGAAAGCTAAAAACAATAAATCACGTGAGCTTTTACTCTTGATTGTTGGCAGTTTTACTTTTTTTAAAGTTCAGCAAATATAGATAAAGTGAAATGGTCACGAGGAAAAGTCAAGTGTTATGTTGTTGAGGATTTAAGTAGCTCATGGACTGGCGCTTCCTGTTGATCGCTGCCGCTTCATTACCTCTTGGTTTTACTGGAACGCGAGTCTCAAGAGGTAAAGTTCAACTCACCGTCAATGTCAGCAGGCAGGTGTTCCATCATTGAGCCGGACTCGCAGGCCTCGATGTACAACACCATCTGTGGATGTGTGCGGGGACAAAAACCAGTCATATGATCTGCTCTCACAGCTCAGACACACAACCACCTGATGCACCTTTTATCACTGACCTAGATACTGTAGGCATGTTAACACGAGGGCTGTTATCAAAATCTCAATATGGCCTACTGCCATTTTAAAATCGCAGGAGGTGCAATATTTGTTAGAAGTGAAATGTTTGTCAAACTACCATTTTAAATAAATACTGTGGTGCTGCAGAGATGTTTGGGCCCACACATCATATTCTACAGGTTTAAAAAAAAAAACTAAAAAAAAAAAACATCTTTGTTTGTTACAGATCCATTCAAAAAGCACACCACAATCTGTTTAATATGTTTTTCATTGAAAATTGCAATGTCAGTCAAAAACAATGCAATTCGATTTTTCATTTAAAAATCAACAGAATGTTGCTGCGTACCTTTTTGTATTTCTTATTTTCGTGCATGTATGTAATGGTGCTTTGGAGATCGTCCACGGTGAGCTGCAGAGAGAGGACAGCATTGGTAAACAGATGTGTTAAACTTGTGCACATCCCGGTTTGTTCGGTTTTGTAGTCTTCATTTCTTAGTCGACATAAAATAGAAAATTTGCAGGAAACCATGTTTAAACTATACTCATAAAGTGTAAAAGGCTATGCTGCTCTTGATCAGTTTATTGGTTTTTTTAATGTCACAATACTGATCAGAAGTTAAATTTGTGCTCAAATACATAAGCAAACAAAACAAAGAGATAACTATCAAATGAAACAAAGTCAACAACATTTTGGGTTGGTGCAGTGAGCTCAGAAGTGAACATTAGCAAGAGCAGGAAGCCGAAAAAGTGCTCACGTCATCATTGGGAAAGGCCAGAATACCAGGCGCCCCGTGGTCGGTAAAGTACACAAACACGTGGTCGCTGGGGCCGCTGCCAAAACAAATAGAGCAAAGTTAGAAACGGTATCTTGATGAAGCAGGTGTTGTGCTGCTCTGATCTCACTACGCCTCTACTGGTTTCATTCCATCACTTCACCTCTTCAAAACCTTTCCAGAGCCACCTTTGACGTTTGAGGAGTCTCCCTTCAGCACTGCCAGGAAGTTTTGTGGGGTCACATCCTGCAGGAGAACACCCCGACACAAATCAAAAAGTCTCTCCAAACAAATCTGTTCCAACATCAAAAACATGCATTTCAGAGCTTTGATTTGTACAATTATTTGCACTGAAGCACTCACGTCTCCAGTGTAATCTTTAGGAACTCCTTTGTACACATCTGTGCCATTCGGCCTGTTGATCACTATCCCAGGGGTGGGGTTTCTGGGAATAGAGAATATGAGTCAGATAAGCAGAAGGAAGTTTAAAAAAGGCTGACAGAACACGTTGTCACTTGATCGGTGAATCATTCATCCGGTATCATGTCAGAATCTGATGAGAACTACAGCACTTCAGGTTTTCTGCTACTCTCAACAACAGCGGCTCTATTGTGTGAGAAAGTGCACCGTGGCCTTTGATTTCTGCAGTCTGTATGAGTAACCGTGCAAGCTGCGCTCTTTCCTGCATCGCTTTGAATAGTTAGTTATAAACCACAAATCCAATATGTGATAATCCTGTAAGCCATGCAAGAGCACAATACAGATATTAAACAATAAATGTTGGACGACTTCTCTCTACAACCCGACTACATTATGACAAGAGTTTCACGCAAGGACTCATGGGACAACGCTAAAGTGTGTAGACGGCTAATAATAGTTGACAGCTTTCATTGGTTATCAATATCAAATTAACATGCAGTGGAAATAATCCATTATCTGCAACTTCTCTGCACACACACATATAAGATGTTAGTACTGTACAAACAGCATATGGACAGAAAATAACTAAGTAACATTGATAAGAATATTTTTAGTTGCAGCTCTATTTAACCATTTGAGATAGTTAACATGCAGAGTTTACGTTGTTTCCCCTCTTAAGCTTTGGTCTACACATAGAACCCTTTTCATACATTCCAGCAACTTTTTACATTACAAGAAAGCCGCCAACATTGCTCCTGAGCAAGTGGACAATCATTGCCGTCTAACACTGCTGCGTGTCACGTTGTGTAACAGTGATCCTATTTCTGACCGAAACTGACGGGTCTGCTTTCACCACTGCTCCTTCACCCAGTCACCATGGCAGTAATTTAACTCCAATCCACTGAGAGGAGCCCTGAAATGAGTTCCTTGAGACTCCTCTCGGTGGACCTCTTTAACTCGGCCTGTTAGTGCTGCCTGCTCTGAGTGCTGCTGCTCTTGACGATGAACCACACCGGGCCGACACGCCACAGAGACACGAGAAATGTCAACACGAGCGTGCGATTATTGTGTGGCTCACAGCTACAAAACTCCACTCGGTTACATTTCTGTACAATCATAATGTTCCTGTTGTTCCAACAGCGCCGACAGAGTGAGACCTCTTTTCTCTAGCAGATTACACCTAATCAAGTTCAGGAGGCCCGTCCTCCCGACTAAACGGTCACTTCATGTCACTAATTTAAGACGATACACATAGTAGTTTTGAACCAGGAACTCCAGTATTTGGATCATGTAGCTCATGAAGATGAGCAGACGTTAAATGAAATATACATAGCTGACATCATTATTCATCACCTTTAATGCTTAGCTCTATATAACACTATCTAAGACACTGTGGAACTCTTTAACAGTTATATACAGTAATATGTTGATGGCAAAGTTAGAGATTCAAATCCTGTAATTGGACTTTAAACTGAAACGTGCACCACAGCATACATAAACATTGTGTGTGCTGTGTCACATTTAGGAACGGTGTACAGTATAGTCTCTGACGTTTCTTTGCACAGTCTACTAACTTGCAAACAGGGAAGAATGAAGGTCAACAAATAATAGAACTACGATACAATTGTGGATTTGAACACTTCGGGGGAAAGAAGAAGTCTCAGTATGACAAAGAAACAAAAAATGTCAACTCACTCCTCATTTTTTGCCAGGTCATCGTACATCATGACCACTATCTGCTCATCCGGGATGCCATTCTTGTGCACAATCTGGTAGGCATGGCAAGCATCAGCCTGAGAGCGAGAAAGAGCAATATGGAGAAGTCAGTTGCTGGAAAAACTGAGTATCTAAGAGGAAAGTTGATCTTATCAAGAAACAATGATAAAAATAGCAACGTCACATCATGCACAGTTTGCACTTGTTCATGCATTGAGATTGTGGGAGCAGTTTCACTCTCTCACCTGGTGTCTGTAGTTGTACCAGCCATTGGAGCCAGCTACGATAACCACCCAGTTCTTGCCCCCGTCTGGGTCCTGCGAGGGGAAGGCGTTTACCAGCCCGAGGCTCAGGCCGAGCAGGGCGAAGAAGACCTGGTTCAACATGTCCTCGCCTTCTGTCGAAGTCCCCAAGTGAACGACAGGGATGATTCAAATATCTCAAATGTCAAATTCGCTGTTAGAATAAAGCGGGTTGTTTTGGACTGTTCGGTGGCAACAAAACAACGAAAGCTAAGCACGAAATAACACAAACACACCACCTGATTGCCTGGATGTCACGTGATGTTATCGGCACAGAGCTAGCTTAGCTGGTAGCCCAACAAGCTTAAAAAAAAACACTGTATTTTTAAGGAGCTGTTCTAGCTATTATATAATAATATTATTATAATACGCCGAACTAATCCTGGGTAAATTACAAACAGAGAACGACATGTTTACCTTTCCTTTGCTGTGGTGTGCGAAAGAGAAAGCAGCCAACGAACTGACGTGAAAGTCCTCAGCAGGAGTCAGTGGGACATTTATATATGACGTCGGGAAAAACAGTCGATAGGAATTCTCGCGCAGCAGCCAATCAGAGGGCTCGGGGGCGGGGCGTCACTGTAAACAGTCATGTGGTTGAAGAGCAACAAAACATGTATGAGCTCCTCTATTTCCTGGTTCAAGTGAAACATAGATTGACTAGATTACTATGGATTATAATTTCTAAGAAAAACAATCTATTCTTTAAACAAACAAAGTTTACTTATGAAATAAACCAATGCATTTTGCCCTTACTAACAGTCTGATGCAGTATGGTATGTAATTACATTTACTAAAGTACAACTTTGAGTTACTTGTTCTTGAGTATTCAAATTTTTTGCTACTTTATACTTACACGACATTTATTTAATAGCTTACAGATAGGACTCGAGTACATACTGTATATGAATGTCATTTTTCCTGAAGATTATTCGCACAAACAGCATGTGACACATTTTGCAGCATGTTACACAATTCTTTCGAACCTGTTTAAGCAGGCGGTTAGGACATATGATTCACTCTGCCATAACCTTTTACAGCAAGTAACCCATAAAATCCCAAACCACTTGCACCTGCAAATCACAAGATTCATTTTAAAAAGGTGCTGAATTACAAATTCTGAGCAAATGTATGATTGAGGGATTGCCTCCGATGGCTGAGCCGGTGGCTAGCAGCACAAACGGTGCAAACAACAGCAACAATGTTGACAGAGTTAACAGCGTTGACCTGAGGAGGAAACAGAGGGTCGGCGTTACGCTTCCATGACACCGCCGTCGGCATCATCAGCTGTAACCGCCGTTTGAGCGCAATGCAGAGCGGCAGCGAAAAGCTAGCCAGTAGGGCACACAAAAAGGGACTCACGTGCACGTGCAGCCGGACCGGCTACATAAACAAAGCACAGAAAAGCTTGGTTAACAACACACACAGGGAGAGTGGTTTCATTCTCTGCTCAGGTAGACATTACTCCATTACATTTTTACTTAGCAAATAGTGGTTTGCTGCTATATTAATGCCTTACATTTCAGATTTAGCACCTTTAAACTTGGTCTCTCCTGCAACATTTTGTATATTTACTAAATATTTACACAATGCTACATGTGCACTGGTTGTGTATCCTTTCATTTAGTGGGTTAGACTCCAAAAAAAATTCGGAGAATTAAATAAAAATACACAAACAATCAGAAGAGGCGCATTAAAGATGTCGGCAATAAATCAAACTTTTATTTCTCCATATAGAAAAGAATCAAGTTAAATAGTGAAACAGTCCATCAAAAATTCGGCATCTTGTTTTCAACCAATGGTCCTTAATACATTAACCTTTGTCTCAAAATGAAAAAAAAAGATGTAACAAAGTGTAAATACCATGTTCACAGTAATAAATATTGAAAAGAAAATCTTTTATACATTGACATTATATATATATATATTTGAGTAAATATATATATTTATATAGATATATAATCATATACAGTAAAAAGTTATTTTCAAGTTTATCAAACATAAAATAGTAAAATAAAAATGGCTGAAAACAGAATGATTGCATTTTTTTTCTTTCCCAAGGCATCGGTAACCATGGCCATTCAGAGTCTGTAATAAATAAAATGTGACATTATTTAAAGAGTGTAGTGCATCACTGTAAATTAAAAAAAACTAAAATTATAGTGCAAGTTTTTTTTTAGCGCAAAGTAATCTTGCAAATCTTGAACTAATCCAAACGGAATGACAAAAAAAAAAAACCCAGAGGAGTTTGTTGAGCGCATCAACGTCAAGTCTCTGACTTCAATCTGTTGTGCATCACAACTTCCTCTGCAGTCTTGGCAGCGAAGAAAAAAGAGAAGAAAAACAGCTTTCACATGTGTGAAACCACGGCAGATATTCAATACCAGGCTTATTTTGGCAAATTACTTAAAGACAAACGGAACACAAAAAAATCTCCACACGCTCTTTACACTCAGCACTGTCAGAATTGCCAACAAAATATTGTCTGAAATGCATAGAAATGAATTACCAGTAGCAAGAACTAACTTAACTTAAGGGTTGTTTACTGTCATGCAGCATTTCTGAGACGCAAATCAAGGCAGATATTATTAATGTGTGTCGATGCAGTAAAGGATGTTGGATGAACGTATGCTCTGCCTCGGCTTGCACTTTTCCCTGGCTTCCTTTCCCCCTCAGCGATAAGGAACGGGGGAGGGGGGAGAGCTCCCATTTCCTGTTTGTCTGCAGGCTCCTGCGTCCTGCTGAAAGCCAGGGAGGTCTGGCTTCGTCTTCACACACAAGTGTGTGTGTTTGTGTTTGTGTGATGCGTGTGCTTGCTTGTCTCAAACCTCTGCACCCAACTCAATGACCCCAGTCTCAATAATGGGCACTAGCTTATCTTCCACCTGTACCAGCAGGATGGTCTTGTCGATATGGGAGCGATTGGCTGGGTCTCGGCTACAAGGCACCCACCGGTGAATCACCTGCAGAGGGCAACAGAGGAGGCGGCTTAGTGAGAGGAATCCTCCAATCAAATTTATGAGGCGTTTATTACAGAGCAAGTAGGTCACAGAGGGTGTTACACGCCAACAAATAGGACACAAGTACAAGCAAAATCACAGTCATTGCATAAGAGGTCAGAGAGTGTGAGAGTGTGAGCTGACAGGATGTGAAAAAACACAGCAATATTTGCTTGTTCATAAATCTAACTTGCATTATAAGGCTGCCGATGAAGACTTACATGTCCTTCCATACCCTCTAAGGGGCTCCAGTCCCTCCAGCAGGTCCGTCCTGCCCTCAGTCTCATCGTCTCGTCAGGCCACTGCAGCTCCTTCCGCTTCGATAAGTTGATGTTCTCCAGCACCTGACCGACATCCGCAACCTGAGCGACACCACGGAAGAATTATATTTACGTCACAGCAGGACTGAGGGTCGTCAGTCAAAGAAATGACTGACATGCAATTCAGTTTTTTTAAAAACATCGAATTCAGAGGCATGGAAACAAGTGCAGATGCTTCATACGTTAGCTTTGATGTCTTTTAAAACTTTGTTTTAAGATGTCCTGGCAGCCTGGTGGTCAAGACGTGACCCTAACTTTAGGACCCCTGTTGCATGTCATATCACTCTCTCCCCCCATATATTTATCTCCACGTTAAAAAAAAAAAAAAAAAAAAGGCAACATGCCATCAAAATAATGAAAATTGAGCGACAGAAAGACATGGCATGCAACGAGATCAGCAGTAAAGAGTAAAAGTTCTACTTTTTGTCACAAATTCTCATTTCAGTAAAGTATTAATGTAATTACAGAGTTTTAAGAAGAAGATGATTTGCTCTAAAAGTCAATAAATGGTCGATATTTAAATTACATGCATAACAAGATTAGGAGTCTCCAGCCATGCTAGCGGCTCGGTGAGGCTGTACTTCAGCTAAATGCTAAGATCAGCATGCTAACATGCTCTCAATGAGGATGGAAGCATGTTGATGATCAGCAAATATCATTTTTAGCATGTTCATTGTGTCAGTTTAGTGTGTCAGCATGCTGATAGTCACTAAATAGTTTATAAGGTGCATTAACAGGATTATATTGTGATGGTTGTTGAAAATATATTCAATAATATAAGCGTTGCCCTTTTTTATATCAGGTAGGTCTATCTGTTTGTGAGCTAAAGATCTGAGGCCGAAAGACTAAACAGAATAAACACTTTGTTGATGTAGATTAATGCGTGAAACTGAAAGTCTGCTTCTAAATTTCACTCGCTAACTGTCTGTTATGTGGACATGATTTCTTTCCTGCTCATTTGTACATAATGTCTACCAACCTGCACTCTGTAGGAGATGTCATCTCTGCGCACGGTGGAGATCATGGGGTGGTGTTGTTGCGGGTAGTGATGATGGTGATGATGCTGGCTGAGGGGATCGGTCACGGTGCTGCACATGCCGTCGTTGCCCAAGAGGCCCACCAGCGTGTGGCGTTTGCAGGGAGGGATGCTGTGGCTGGAGAGGGAGGCGGAGGGGTCAGAGGTGGAGCCCAGCCGGAGCTGCAGGGAGGTGGGGAGCGTGCGCAGAGACAGCTGGCTGGTGGAGGAACGTCGGCAGGGCTCCAGGCCCGTGGTGGAGGTGCGCAGGGAGGAGTGACGGCTGCTGCTGTAGCGGTAGGAGGATGACTGGCTGGCAACAGAGGCTCGAGCAGGAGAGTGGCGTACCAAACCCGACTGGACAGACTGGGAACTTTGACTGGTGCCTGGACACAGGGTGGTGAAGTCAGACGCAGAACTCCGATTGATTTAGTGTCGCAATCTCATAAAATGTGGGGACTTACGAGAGACAGATTTTGTAAATGGTAAGGTGGACGAGATATCCTGGATTTCAGTCACTAGTATGGGTCAAGCTCCAAAAACACTGGATCCTACATATCCCATAATGCAACTCAATAGTGCCCTATACTAGACCCTCCCTGCCTATCATACCTTCATCTTCTAAACTACACATCCAAGTGCATATCAAAAACTAAAATAACTACTGTATATCTAAATTCTTATTTTAAAGGCAGCTCCGGTGAAATTCAAAACCGAACTCAAAAATATGAATTCGTCATAGTATTCATAATATTAGTGGTTGTCAGGTTCGCTAGTTCTCACCCAGTGTGTGCGGCTGGTAAGTATGAGAGGGGGCGGGTCCGGAGGTGCCACCCTGCGACACTGAGCTCTGCTGAGAGTCACCCCCCGTCCCATTCCCACTGCCACAGGACATCCCCCCTGCATCGGAATCCTCGATGTTCCCGCCACTGTTACAGCCAGCACCACAGCCTTTCCGTAACCTAAAAGAAGATAATTTGAATATCATCCGTTGATAAACTACAGTCAGATTAGAAAACACAGAGAAAGAAAAAGAAAACACGAACAGATCACAAATCGGCTCTAGCGTGAAAATCTTATTTAACAACATTATTAACAACCACTTAGTTTGTGTTTTTGAGAGCGCCAACAGACCTGTGCCAGGTGCTGACAACAAAGTTTCGGATGTTCCCGATGCTGATAGGGCCTCCGAG